AATGGCCAAATCCCCATTAGTATTGAATCAAATGGATGTAAAATATAAACGGAAATTATCATTAGCGTGTGTAGTTCTTACAATATTAAAACAATTGCTGATTTAGGAATTTTGACGGGGAGGGAGGAGTAAATCGAAAGAATTAGTATTTCCTCTTAAAAATAAAACATTTATTAATTCCCACATTTCCTTGCTAGCAAATAATTTAATAGCTGTTTCGACGAGAGGGGGGTCACATACGACAAAAGAACAAAGTTTAACTTTTAGTAGGGTCTTAATAATTTGGGGGTAACATTTGTTGGTATATGTATCAATTATACTAGAAATATTACTGAAAATCATAATAACGTAACTTTTGCCTAGGGTAGAATATCTTCTTTTAGTCCTTCTTTTTACCCTATGAAAGGTATTTGTGAATTTTTTTATACGTGTCTTATTTAAATCGTTTTAATGGATAATCTTATATTTGTAAAAAAAAAAAAAAAAAAAAAAAAAAAAAAAAAATGGTGGTGGTTGTGGGTGTCCCCAATAAATTTCATGTAATATACAGTTACTGTAGCGCTCCCTTAGTAATGGCTCCTGTGACCCTTTTTATTACTTGTCAAGAGATTTCTGTTGGGTTGTGCCCCCCCCCCCCCCATCACACGGAAATTGATTCCTTGCCTAAGGTCAACTGTTTTTACATGGAGTAAAATCAATGCATTGTATTATAATTTTCAATTAGTATTTCTGGTATAAATGCTTATACAAATAAATGTTACTCAGGATTCTATTTAAAGCCCCCCCCCCCATTTTCTGACGTTATATAAGCCTTCGATCTCTCCCCAGTCAAAAAAGCTATTGATATATTTGCCTGCACGGAAACGTGGAAATTAAATGTTTCTCATTTAAGAAGAAATACTCCTTCCTCCTATTTATTCCTTCCTCGCCTTCTCCGTTTAAAAATTCCCGAATCCGCCAATTGTTGTTATTATTGTAATATTGGATTTATTCAAGCATGCGTATGTTAAAGATGTTAAAGATAACAAAACAGGCAATATCATCTATGAAGAGTGGCAGTGAGCAGTTGGCAGTAAGCATCTGGCAGTTGGCAGTCGTATATATGGAATTCCATACAAATTAAAAAAAAAAATAGTTAAAAATTAAAAATTATGATTATTCTTTTTTTAATTACAATTAATAAAAATCAAATTATAATTTGTAAATTCAATTTTGATAACAAAATAAAAAATGTATTGTCAGCGACCCTAATTTTGGCTAATAGAGGCATGACGTACTAGATTTACCGTATTCGATTTTTGAGCTCGAACCCGATTAATTTTAATTGACCTTAAGCATCAACATGGCAAAGGTGTACCGTTTCTGTAGGCAGAGCTGGGTTTCGTTTTCAAAATCGACTCCAAAGTTTGATGGAAACATTGTGAATGGGAGGTTATATTTTTCCCAGAAGGCGGGGAAGTTGTTGTGTGCTGTCCCTTTGCTGACAGCAACTGGTATTGTCTATGCTGGGTCTGGAGAAGATAAAAAAGAGAAAAACTTGGTCAAAGTAGCAGATATATCCTTATATAACAACCCCGAACAGAAACATTCTTACTGTTTAAAAGAGGAAAAATACGAAACTTTGAGAGGCTATGTCAACACAGCAAGAACATCATTCGAAGACTTCATGGAACCACAGTGGGACAGAATTGAGGATGTCAAGGATAAAATTGCCATTGGAAAAGCACACACTGCAGCCCTGATAGAAAGATTAAGAACTGATAAAGAACTGCAGAGGAAAATAACAATTGTTGGAGGATCGTCAATAGGAGCAGCTGGTGTAGGATTCAGTGTTGTGGAGAGAGGAAAGAAAGGCTCGGCTCTCACACTATTATTCGGCTTACTTGGTGGAACCATAGCAATGATGATTCTCCATCCTAATCAGACTCTCAGTCTAATTGGATTTTCTCCCGAGGATGTGAAGAAAGGAAATTCTGATAAAAAATAGGATGGAAAGACATGAACCTGACTATCAAAACTGTTAAAATGTATATTTTTCAATGCTGCAGTGATAATGATAGTTATCTTCACATTTATATCTTTAATGACAACATGTGTAACAGATTGGGTTGAAACTCAGAAAGTTTGTTTGTGCCTCCATCTTTGAAAAGTCATATTAATTCAAACTGTTCCACTCATTAGTAAAATTTGTATTTGCAACAAAACTGTTGGTTTGTTGTCTGTTTTTTGCCTCACAACAAGTAACACATGGGGAGATGGAGGGGGTAACCTTTTACATATTTTATATTTATGAAGACGCACAGTTGTATAAATCATAATACATACATGGTACAGATGTAATGGGCCTAGACATTAGAGGAAGCAACAGTTTTATGAGAATTCAGATGTCAAGGCAGTGGTCCCAATACTCCCTGGCATACGAGAACAAACGATATGTAGGAACCAAACCTTATTGGTAACAAACTACATGTAGGAAACAAACCTTGATATCAAACGGTATGTAGGAACCAAACCTTGGTAATAAACTACATGTAGGAATCAAACCTTGGTAACAAACTACATGTAGGAATCAAACCTTGGTAGCAAACTACATGTAGGAATCAAACCTTGGTAAGGAGTGAGTGAAATGACTATCATGATAACCAGGCCCCAAGACATTTCAAATTACATGTAGTACAACTTGTGAAATAATTTTGAAAATAAAACCAAATTTTCATTATGTGTATTTGAATATGATACAAACTTTCAATTTTTAAAACATGTTTCTGAAATTAAAAAAAATCAGATATTAAAAATCTACATGTTGATTTCGTTTATAGTCCAGGACCCAGGTATCCAACAAACATGCATAAAAACGAAAAATGTTTGCTTTCAAAAGTTTAAAATTCAATACAGAATATTAATTTATGATGGTTTGAAAAGTAAACCCTGAGATATAGTAATAAAATTCTTTAATTTGTTAAAGCAGGCAGAAAAGAGTGACCTGTGTCGATCCCTCTGGCATCAATGCTTATAGTGCATAAGATTAAAAATCAAAGTACTGAATCGAGGTGACGTCATATAGTAAAATGTGAAATCAATCCCCAAGTTAAGACACGTTCCTCGAATATCTGTTTTTACATTCCTTTGTAATGTACCCAAAATATTTATAATTATCATTATATTTTGATTTCTAAACCATTTCCAAAATGACTGAAAAATATAAAAACCAAAAAATAGTGATATCAGCTGTTCAAGTGAGTATCTCCAATATAGGATTATATAGGAAATACCATCCTCCAGAATCTTGCACAAATGCCTGGTAATGTACCCCAATTTTTTGTGAGGGAATTTTTTAATGTGTAGTAATATTTCAATCACAAAATATTGGGAAAAGTTATATATTTTTTGAGGAACGTTTATCTGACCTTAACTGGCATATGCAAAACCTTCAATCAAGAAAACCATTGGAAAGCAATACGACAAATGCGTTTTGTAACTTATTTGATCTATATAAAAAAAAAAATGAACTGGTTACTTTTAAACAAATGTGAAAATACTAACAAAAGAATCTTTGCCATTTTTGAGGAACGTTCTTCTGACCTTAACTGGCATATACAAAACCTTACATCAAGAAAACCATTGGATACAGCTAGCATTTAATACAATCAAAAAACCCTCTCTTTGATTTTTTTTCAATGGCCAAAAGCAGGAACATTTAGACTAGACATTTTTTTCACCTTAATTGGTATAATTTATTTTATTCAATCATATGAAGCATCGTAGACTTGAAATACTTTCCTGGATCTGTAGCACACTAGTCGAAAATGATGTTCAGATAACTAAGTTCCATGCACTCTTTCTGAGCACAAAAATGTACAAAATTTTAGAGCTAATTCTCCGTATTTCAAGACAGTCATATCAAAATGTAACTAGCCCTTTTTCCTAAAATATTGCTTTACTACATGTATATGCTTTCAAAACCAGATCAATCCCACGATAATTGTAAATAGCCCTTTTGTGCATTTGCTTGAAACTATTTCCAATGTCATTTTCTCTAAATACATTAATTGTGCTTGTAAAAATGTGTAATACCAATGAAGTGCAAAAATGGAATTCAAACCATTGTTTTCATTCATATTATTTTTTAAAAACAAAAATTGAATTTCCAAACTGGTTTCAAGATCGAAGGGAAATTATGGACACAACTATCAAAATAGTTTGCATAAATGTAACAAGGGAACAAAAAAACTTACATACATTTAATAACAATTTTAAAAAAAATATGGAAATGCTACATTTGAAACACAGCATTCTGTTTTAATTGCTGTTAAATCCTCTTTTTAGGAAAATTTCACTTATAACACCTTTATATGGAAATAAATGCCGCGACAAGCTCATCCGCGACTGAAGATTAATATACTTGTATCTTAAAAATTAAAAAAAAAATTGATTGACAAGTTTCTTAAACCAACAAATTTGTAAACTCAGGGACCAACCTTCTAGCATAGACCCCATTTTAAATATACATATATATATATATATATATATATATATATATATATATATATATATATATATATATATATATATATATATATATATATATATATATATATATATATATATATATATATAGATGTGGTACGTCTTTTTTAAAAGTGTTTTTTTTTTCTTGACTGAAAGTGTCAGAATCTTCATTTTAACAACTTTTAAGTGTATTTAAGGTAGAATCAAAATTTTATTAATTTATTTTACGTCTAACAATCCGGAAAACAAGCCCCTATGGTCTTAAAGGCTTGTTAAATCTATTAACTGAATGCACATTTTTTTTTTTTCGCAAATTATTGTAAATGCATATAAACTTAAGGAAAATGGAAACATATTAATCATAAATCACATTAGGTACCATTTTATGCATTTAAATCGGGATCGATGTTTTAGTCGTATGTAAGCGCTACCCTCATTGGCTCACCTCATTAGAAACTAGCAAATAGAGCATGCTGTAACATCTAATCAATGCCTCAACATGGCACCGAAAAAGCATGGGAAAGGGAATCTGAAGAGGAAATCAAAATCCAAACATTGTCAATTATCTAAGCGGGAAAGAAAGGAAATAAAAGAATATGGTGAAATTGATCCACTCAGCAATGGCCATGGGTAAGATAAAGAATCTCGAAGTGTGAAGTATGGTTAAAACAAAGTGTCTCACTAAGACCTTAAAAAAAATGTTTGCACGTTTGTTAACTATTTCATGCTAATAAAGAGAGGGACTGTAAGTAGGATTTTATTTATTTATTATTAATAATTTTTTGACATAAATATGATAAAGGCATAACTGTGAAAAATAATATTTTTAAAGATAGATGCTCTCTCTTCTTTAAAACACACTCAACAGTTCTATAAAGGACTGCTAAAAATTGACTTTATACTATATATAATTAAACCATTCATTTGATGAAAAACATTCAAACATGCATCAATTTCTGGATTTTTCAATGAAAAACAAAATTTGGTCAGCACTGAAGATTAGCAAGTCTGGCACAATCTCTTTCTTAAGCTGTATAGCTTGAATTAGCCAGGTTGGGCACACCCCACCAAATGGTCATTTATCCCCCGTTTGGTGGACAATCTCCCATATCGGAGACGAATTTTACTGACCAAATGGTGGACTTCTTTATTCTATTCCAAATTTTATTAAAATAAAGCAAAAGCGCATTTACTTAGGCATTGGGGAATTTTAGTGAACATATTCGTCGCACAATTAACATAGTTCGGTCGATTTCCCATGTGCAATTTCTCCATAACTTCCTAAAAACGATACCCATAGTTGTCCGTAACATCCGAACTTCTTGATCACTCGATCAAAAAAAAATGATTGTGTCTAGTAGGATAAAAATTCTATTTCATCCAGTGGTTGAACTCTTGATAAGTTAAGTTTCAATCGCTTTTTGGATCTTCGTCAATATTTATTTCCATAAAATCCCGTTAAACACGAGCTCCCCATTACTTTACTGATACGGTGGGCACTTATTGCTATAAAGTTAAATTTTTCTATACTTGAACGTAATATCTGTTGTTATTTTTCTTTTAGGATGAAGTTGCATATTCCATACGACCTTTTGTGGTTTAATATGTATATTACTGATGAATTTATTATACTTGATAAATAATTTTCAATAAAAGATTTACAAAGTGACTTTTGCAATTATTCTTGTATTCGTTCGAAGTACATCGTTTTAAAACAATAATTATATCATAATCTAACTTCATTTACAATTTTTATAGAGAACAAAGCTATTGCGTACAAAATAAAACGAAATAAAGGCGAAAACATATTTTTCTTTTGATTTTCTAATTGAAAATTGACACTAATGTGCCTCCGTAGTAAAATCCGACTTTTGACCAGGTTAAAAAAAGATCATCGTTATTATTGGTTTGCATTATTTGATTGGTTGCCCGGATAATCGAAAGAGAAAGTAAAGAACATGATTGACAGGTGCAGCATCGTTGAAGAAGGAGGAAATTTTCTTTTTAAGTAAAAACGGAGAAACGTTATACTTGTTTACATACGTGACATTTTTTGTCAAATTTTTGAACGACTCTGCGCAAAAAATTACACGTTGAATTTCCGATTTTTTTCACTCTAAACACCGATAAATATCTATATTTTATTCCACATGGTTTAAAATTATGCGCCATTCCACGCCATTCTATGGAATTGAACACAACCATTTTTCTCTCCCAAATGGTCAGTAAAATTCGTCTCCGATATGGGAGATTGTCCACCAAACGGGGGATAAATGACCATTTGGTGGGGTGTGCCCAACCTGTTAGCTATATAGCTTTATTAAGCTATTCAGAATAGCTTGATAAAGCTATTTATATGCAGTTTTCACCAAAATGTTTTTGTAAGAAATGGACAAAAAGTCGCAAGTATTTGACTATTCATATAAAGCAACCCAAATCATAGATAGTTCTAACATTGCAGATTTTGAATACTTTTAAACAAAAAATATCTTTCCATTGTTTGGATAACTCTACACATATCATGTTCTGATTCAAGCTATATAGCTAAATCAAGAAATTGTGCTGGCCCTTTTAAGGGTCAGTCGTGTAACCATGAACATGTTTTTGTATTTAGCCTAAAGTAATTTCTAATTGTGTACTTTCTTTGTATAGAATTGTCTCAAGAGCACGATATACAAAGATGGCTGATGTCGAAGATCATAAGATACAGGTAAACAAGTTGGGAACCAATCACCCAATGGGAAATAATAGCCTGTTTAGGATATAATATCCCAAATGTGGTATAAATTTACGATGCAAAAAATGAAAAAAAAAATGTTTATTTTAGCTATAAATATTGTGAATCTGCATAAATAAAAATTGAATACAGTAATTTTTGACAAGCAAGTTTTTCTATATCCAACATTTTGTGAGATTGATCTCCAAGAAGTTTAGTATCATCCGAGGGATCAATCTCCTAAACAGTGGGGATACAGAAAAACTTGTTAACCAAAAGTTATTGGGATTTAAATAACAAAGAAGAAAAATTCTGCTTAACATGATAATTGATTGGTAATTCAGCACAATGTGAAGCAATCAAACTTATCCATGCCTCACTGTACACAAACTGGTGTAGAGTTAAACAATGAAAATACATCTTTTGCTCAAAAGTTTTCAAAAGCAGCAACCCAGGGTTGCTTTTTAAAAAGTCCTTGGTACTAATATTAGTATTTGCATACTTGTGAATTTTTGTCTATTTTAGATAAAGAGCAAAGTTGTAAAAACTTGCTTTAAAATAGCTAGATCAAGCTACTTTGAGTAGCTAAATAAATAAATAGGTAATACAAGCTACATAGTTAAATGTAGCGATTGTACTGGACCTGCTTATGACCTAAAATACGTAAATTTGAATATCCTTTCTGCTTGCTTAAAGGATTGTTGCATATATATTATACACTGGAATGAAGCTCTTGTGATTTGATAACATTTAGTATGACATCCTGGCATACAGTCAAGGTAAGTCAAATAGCAGACTAAATCACAACAACATTTGATGTACAAAGGTGAAGATAGGCATTTTTTTTATTTTTCACTTTAAATGATTGTGTGTGTTTTATTCAGTTATTAAGTACAACTTTTTTTAATCAGGAAACAGACTCATCAGATTCTTCCGAAGAGGAAATTGATGCCTACCAACAGCTTTTAGCATCAGTCCATGGAAAAGCACAGAGCATCATAGGTCAGGGGTCAATAATATGATGGGAGAAACCTATTACAATGCCACCTCTTATGTACATATAAATTAGTTTTTCAGTTTCTGTTAATAGAGTCTGATGAGGATGAAGAAGAGGAGGAAATCAATGAAGAAAAAGATGTAAATAGTAGGAATGAGGAGGAAAAAGAGATGAAAGATGACAGAGATGAAAAGGAAGAACTAAGTGACATGGAAAATGAAAGTAGTGAAGCAGAAAGTGAAAGTGAAGAAGAGGAGGACATTGAGGAAGGAGATGAGATTCTAGAGAAAGGAGAAGATGAAGAGGATTATGTCCTCAAGGAGTCTGGTAAATGGATGACTCTTGCAGCAGTACAAAATTGAAATAAAGTATAGTGTACAGAGAAAATTTTCACTCCCCCCCCTTTTTTTTTTGCCCCTTTCGCCCTCATTGCATGTGGGCGATTAAAATCGGGCAAATTCAAAAAAAGACAGCATTATCTCTTTAACACAGCTCTGCCTGGGTGAATTTAAGGGTCAGAAATGTTTTGTAAGTGTAAAAGGGTGAAAATATATCCCTCTTTACAGTATTGTAAAGAGTTACTGGACTGACAGTGTAAAAGGGCGAAAATAACAGAGGGCAAAAATATCCTGTTATACAGTACTGTAAAGAGTTACTGGACTGACAGTGTAAAAGGGCGAAAATAACAGAGGGCAAAAATATCCCGTTATACAGTATTTTAAGGAGTTACTGGACTAACAGTGTAAAAGGGTGAAAATAACAGAGGGCAAAAATATCCCGTTATACAGTATTTTAAGGAGTTACTGGACTGACAGTGTAAAAGGGTGAAAATAACAGAGGGCAAAAATATCCTGTGATACAGTACTGTAAAGAGTTACTGGACTGACAGTGTAAAAGGGCGAAAATAACAGAGGGCAAAAATATCCCGTTATACAGTATTTTAAGGAGTTACTGGACTGACAGTGTAAAAGGGTGAAAATAACAGAGGGCAAAAATATCCCATTATACAGTATTTTAAGGAGTTACTGGACTGACAGTGTAAAAGGGTGAAAATAACAGAGGGCAAAAATATCCTGTGATACAGTACTGTAAAGAGTTACTGGACTAACAGTGTAAAAGGGTGAAAATAACAGAGGGCAAAAATATCCTGTTATACAGTGTTTTAAGGAGTTATTGGACTGACATTGTAAAAGGGCGATAACAACACAGGGCCAAAATATACCTGTATACAGTGTTGTAAGGAATTATTGAACTGACTGTGTAAAAGTCTGAGGGCAAAAATAACACAGGGCCAAAATATCACTGTATACTGTAGGGAGTAATTGGACTGACAGTTTAAATGGGCGAAAAGAACACGGGTCAAAATATCTCTGTATACAGTATTGTAAGGAAATATTGGACTTACAGCATATATTTTGATTAAAAATTAAATATACTTGTTTTTCAGATCCATTCAGTGTACATTTTGAAACAGACTTGTCAGAGAAATTTGTTGAAGGCTTGAGTAAAAAAGAAAACTGGAAAAGTGAAGAGGTCAAGGTAATGACTTAAGAACTGTATTCCTCAGATTCATTGTATTTTAAATTACAATAGTAATTCAAATCCACATTAATATATGGAAAGAAGATAGAGCTTTTTTTGCACATGTGCCAGTTTGTTTATATTTTTGTCTCTTTTCAGGTGAAGAATGTTGGCCATGGATCATTCATAAGTCCAAAGGACCACAGTCATTTAGAAAAAGTGAAATCGCTAGATAGTGAAAAAGACCTAAAATGTCTCTATGTAAGAACATTAAAGGACTTATCGCATGTTTCTCAATTACTTGAAATTAAAAACATATTACATTCCTTACGATCATAGTTCATAAAATTGTTTTAGTGTGGATATACCATGTTAATTAAATATAATTTAAATCAAATAAAAATCCCTAAATTATAAATCTGAGTTAATTAGATAGTGATCATTTGACCGTGATACGCCATAGGCCGCAATGGCTGATCAGTTGTGTATGTTAATCTTACTAAAATATATGCGATATAAACCAGATTTTCTGAGTTATAAATGACCAAACCACTGATTTTATGGATATGAGGTTGGAGACCAAGCCTTATATGTTTGAAATGCCATCAGTAGAAAATCTGTAAAATCTGTAAACACAGTAAAATAACAGCGACGATAGTAAGGGAAGAAACTCGCCTTCAAAATACAATGTGATCTGTCATCAAACCTTTATTAGATACAAATTCAACATTGCAGAATCTTTGGTATTGTTTATTTATAAGAAAATGTCAATTAATGCAAATATACATGTATCTGCACATATTTTGCAAAGAATGGCGGTCTTGAATAATTATTTTCCTTTCACAAAATATCACCAAATACAAATACATATCCAAATGTTTAACTAGCAAACGGAAAAAGCAGATTAATATTTCATATAGCACATTCAGTAAAATAAAGTAAATTAAAAAACTAGCTTTTGCAAAACATTAATATTAATCCAGTTTAATTGTAAATAAGCAACTGAATTATATGTGATTTCAGAAGGGGGCCGGGGGATAATTAGAATACATGTAACAGTGTGTAATACCGTAGAAGAGAAGGTGGTCAGACATGATATTTACCATTTATACCTTTTCTTTTATAATCATAGACTACAATTGAAATGCGAAAAGCCCCGAAGTAATTTTGCAACTTTGTTCCTGCATTACCATCACATTTTTTTTTTAAATTTTCCTACTGACATGAAGGCATTAGGTACATTCACCATAGTCCAGTAATAGTGCATGTATACTCATATTTTCATGTTTTATTCAATGATAATACTTAAAATTAAAACTAGTTAAATTTTTATAGTAATTGAAAAGCACATAATTAATTATTTTTTTCAGTATTTTTTGTAATTTTAATTGCATTTCATGATCTGTCGTTTATAAGTCTGTAAATAATGTACATATTCTTATCTCTCAAAAACTATGTGGCGCTGAAATCCAATTGAAATATGCATATCACCATATTTGGATTTCAGCTCTTAATATTGCTTAAATATGCTTGCAACACCATTTATTATGTTCAGTATTTTAATAATTAAAACAAGGTTGAAGATAATTTTGTTAATAAATTACAATTGTTTTAAGAGCATGCGATAAGTCCTTTAACAAATTGTCTTGTACTCACACAAATGGACTATAGAACTTTAAAAATTGGACTATAGAATGGCATTCACATATTTTATGTTTAATGAATTTTGATATATTTGTACATTTCTCTTCCACCAGGTAAAACACAAGCTTGCAGAAGGTGTAGAAAATGCAAATAGAAAACTATGCAAAGTTGATAGTTTGGGAAATGGAGGTCAGTGGGTATCACAGTTAGGATGTACATGTATTTTTTTCATCTTGTTAAGAGTAAAAAAAATGAAAAATGGAAAAATTACAATGAATGATGATTTTTGGATAAACATATTATGAAAATGGTTGATATTTCAGCACCATTGACTCCATTCCAGTTCTCACTCTTCCGGGTTTTGAATAAATACCAGGTAAGTCAATAACCATTTTATTAAATTAATATCAGGAATTTTACAACATTTTTCACACTTAAGTTATAGTCTCCATGAAACATAAACACTCATGATATGTTGTGTAGCAATGTATCATATATTTCAAAAGTATAGCAAGGTGGAAAATGGGGGGGGGGGGAAAAACCTCAACCATTCATTAATAAAAGTGTTTAGACGATATGCTGATGATCTGCATTATTTACATTAACAATGACACACGCTTTAAACATGCAGTTTGATTGATAAACAAAAATGTTAGCAAATCTATGGTTGGTAAAGATGGAAATCCTAAACAAATCTCCCAGAACTTCATTTTGAGGTGAAGTCTGAGGTACACTTCAAAAAAGAGAGTGTGGACCAATCATAGAGCACCAAAATTCCTGATTATTTAATAATTTCTGATATTGCAGGATGTATATTATCCAGAGAGAAGCCATAAAAATGGAGAGGAAATACGTCTTGTTTACTGTCTGCATGCTTTGAATCATGTCTTGAAGTAAGTTATAAAAAACCTTGTGCATTGTACATATACCATATGTATGTCATGTATAACGGAGACAATTACAATATGTATTAATTATTTTGAAAGAATATCAGTGGTCTTTTGAAAGAGAAACTTTGATCACTTTAAAAATAAAGCTATTACACCGATGGTGTACTTTCATTTTTAAAAGACCAAACATTTCAAGGAATTAAAAGTATTTTGTGATGTTACAGAAAATACCCTTCCAAGTATATATTTTTGTCTGGCCGAATTTTTTTATGGCGTCCAGCGAGCAGAGCTCGAACGTCATCTAGCTAGCGTCGTATCAAAATCGCCACCGGAAGTTTACACAATCATTTGATGCATCCACAAATAAAAATAGCAATAGCAGTATATATATTTCTACAAAATGCTCACAATGAATAATAACATAAAAATAAAATTGCATCAATTATATTTACAATTAATTCTGTTACAAAAAACAGATACTTTGTTTATTGTTACACAAGAGAAACGTGATAGTTGTTGCGGATGAATTTCTGAAGAAAGCGGCGTGTCCAATGACATGAATAACATTTCAGATGGATGACCATGTAAAAGAAAGAAACCCATTAGGCGGTAAAATAATAACAAACTTGCATAAATACGAATACTAGAAGACTATGAACATCAAATTTCAACCTTAATATTAAATTTTATCATAAAAACTGAAGTTATCGACTTCCATTTCTGTATTTCTTCATTTCCTCTATTTCGCAATATACTGTATACCTTGCTCGATTATAATTCATAGTTGTAACAGAGACAGGGTTGTAGTTTAGATGAATCGCTTAAACAATGCTAAAACATTGACTATAAGAATAATATATAAAATTATAGTTCTCAACTGATTGAAAAGCATGTTTGACCATGTCTGGTCAATTCGAACCCTGCTCTATTGGGACAATGGCATAAGGCCCCAAACTTTAATTGTGACATTTTGTTTAAAGTTAAAATTTTATATCAAATTCAGAGAGAACTTTTGCAATTGTATTTTCAAGTTCGACGTCATTGAAGACTTTCAGGCTTTTGATTTTAACTATGTCAGATTTTGCCAATACAAATTTGAGCTCTACTGGTCAGAAACCAGAAGAGCTTATGTGATTGTAAAGTGTCCTTTGTCCGTCTGTCCATCTGTAAATAATTTTTCAAAATGCTACTTCTCCTACAGTTTTGATCCGATATCCATATAACATGGCACACAGGTAGACTACACAAGATACATAATTTTCCATATTGGTTTTTGATTTTGATGAATGTTCTATGAAATACTTTCAGATCCCTACTCCTCCTACAGTTTTGGTCTGATTTCAGTATAATTTGGCACACAAGTAGATTCTTTATGTCAGCTTTTGATTTCAGTGAACGATGTTGCCATGGTTACCAAAAATAGACATTTCTGTGAAATACTTTCAAAATGCTACTCTCCCTGCAGTCTTGGTTTAATATCAGTGTGATTTGGCACACAAGTTGATTACACTCAGCTACATAATTCTCTGTATCAGTTTTTGATTTCGATGAACATAAAGTTTTGGTCAGATTTCAATATACAGTAACTTAGCACAGAAGTAGATTGTACTATGCTATATAATTCTTTTTATGTTTTGGATTTCGATGAACAGTGTTGCCATGGTTATAAAAATAGAAATGTCTATGAAATACTTTCAAAATTCTACTTCCCTTACAGTTTTGAACTGATTTTAATATAACTTAGCATGCAAGTAGACTACACTTAAATACAGAATATCGTTTTTGGATTTTGACGAAAGGTGTTGCCATGGTCACTAAAAATTGAAATTTCTGCAAAATTCTTTCAAAAGGCTAATTCTCCAACAGTTTTAGTCTGATTGCAATAAATGTTGCCACAAAAAGAGACTAAACCTAGGATCATTTTTCTATTAATTGCTGTTGCAAAGTGCTACTTTTCTCTTCCTTTGTTACAACAGAGTTTCCGAAAACCAAATATTTCTATCAGTCATTTGGACTGATGACTTAATGTGTTCTACCGAAAGCAAATTCTATGAGTCTGAATAAATCCTAGAACAATTCATGATGTTATTCAAAAGAATATGACATTGGTTAGGACTGGTCTGTTTCACCTGAGAGTATACATTAAATTGCTGCAGAACATCAGTGCCAACCTAGATAATTGGACCATGAAAGCAATGTGTAAATAATACTGCAGATTATAACAACACCAGTTGTGAGGCATTTCAATAGTTCAGAGTACAAATAATTAGAATAACCATAATTGTGTCTCGAGACAAGCCCTCACCACAGTTGGAATACGTCCCACTTATCTATAGTTGCAATGTAGCAAATAGGAGGGGATCCGCTTCAAAACGAAGAATGCAAAAGGAGTTGCACTGGAAATAATTTCTAATTTACTCATAACAAACCTTTTTGAGCTTGTATATGTCTTTTATCCGAAAAAAAATAACCCATATAAAGACAGAAATGTACATGTAACTCATTTTCTCAACATTTTTTTTTCGCTTCAAATTTACATGCCATGTTGACATTTGGAACTCTCTAGATTATTCATAGTAGCATAGATTAGAATCATCTGCCCCTGTTTATTTTGCTACATTGCCAGAAAGTAACTCGCTAAAGGCTTTCTGAGATTACAATGAAAAGACAAAACTTTACGGGTACAATGAAAACTCGACAAACAATGGATTGTTAATGCAGAAAATGATCGGTCATGCTGACAGGTGATATAGTGAATTGCAGCGGACATTTCAATTTTCTATTGGTTTTGCTGGTGGGGAATGATGGTTTTTGGAAGCTCTGTTTTAAGTACAAATGAGTAGAGCTACAGTCTCATCACAGACTTCTGGTTTGAAAGAATTTCCTGACATGAAGCAATGTGATACTTTTACAGAACCAGAAGTAGAATCATTACACACAACACCAGGATTAAAATGAAACAACAGATCACAGGATTAGAGTAAGTAGAATGCATGAGAATTCCAAAAAATTGCACCACCGCTTTGACACTGTGAATACATTAACCACACCAATGCCTGTAAACACAACACCTCTCCTACAAAGACCATTAGTGTAACATTGCTCCTACTTTGACATGACCACAAGTATTACATTGCCCCTCCTTTTACACACACCACCAGTATAACATTGCCCCTCCTTTGACACACACCACCAGTATTACATTGCTCTTCCTTTTACACACACCACAAGTATAACATTGCTCCTCCTTTTACACACACCACCAGTATAACATTGCTCCTCCTTTTACACACACCACCAGTATAACATTGCTTTAACACAAATAATGTATTATGTTGCTCCTACTTTTACATGCACCACCAATATAATATTGTTCCTATTTTTAGGTCACCTGAGTCACTCACGTGACCTATTGCTATCCGTTTTTGTCCGTCATCGTGCGATGTGCATTAACATTTTAACATTTTTAGCTTCTTCTCTGAAACCTCTCAACCAATTTCAACCAAATACAGCATCTATGGGTGGAGGGGAACAAAAATTATGAATTTCATGGTCCCTGCCCACCCTGGGGCCTGAGGGATGGGGCTAAAACCACCAAAATTAATGCAATCTTTAAAAAAAATTTCCTCTTTACTCCTGGACATCAAGCAGTCAAACTGTTGGCATGATTGTAATAAACATTGAGCCCTCAATTCACCACCAGTATATCATTGCTCCTCCTTTCACACACCACCAGTAAAACATTGCTCCTCCTTTTACACACAACACCAGTGTAACATTGCTCTTCCTTTTACACACCACCAGTATAACATTGCTCCTCTTACACACACCACCAGTATAACATTGCTCCTCTTACAAACACCACCAGTATAACATTGTTTTTCCTTTTACACACACCACCAGTATTACATTGCTCCTCCTTTAACACACACCACCAGTATTACATTGCTCCTCCTTTTACACACACCACCAGTATAACATTGCTCCTCCTTTTACACAAACCACCAGTATTACATTACTCCTTCTTTTACACACACCACAGTATTACATTGCTCCTCCTTTTACACACACCACCAGTATAACATTGCTCCTTTTACACACACCACCAGTATTGCATTGCTCCTTCTTTTACACACACCACCAGTATTGCATTGCTCCTTCTTTTACACACACCACCAGTATAACATTGCTCCTCCTTTTACACACACCACTAGTATTACATTGCTCCTTTTACACACACCACCAGTATAACATTGCTCCTCCTTTTACAAAAACCACAACTACTATTACATTGCTCCTCCTTTTACACACACCACCAGTATAACATTGCTCCTCCTTTTACACACACCACCAGTATTACATTGCTCCTCTTACACACAACACCAGTATGACATTGTTCTTCCTTATTCACCACCAGTATTGCATTGCTCCTTCTTTTACACACACCACCAGTATTACATTACTCCTTCTTTTACACACACCACCAGTATAACATTGCTCCTTTTACACACACCACCAGTATAACATTGCTCCTCCTTTTACAAAAACCACAAGTATTACATTGCTCCTCCTTTTACACACACCACCAGTATAACATTGCTCCTCCTTTTACACACACCACCAGTATTACATTGCTCCTCCTTTTACACACACCACCAGTATAACATTGCTCCTCCTTTTACACACACCACCAGTATTACATTGCTCCTCCTTTTACAGACAACACCAGTATAACATTGCTCCTCTTTCACACAACACCAGTATAACATTGTTCTTCCTTTTACACACACCAGTAGAACATTGCTCCTTCTTTTACACACACCACCAGTATTACATTACTCCTTCTTTTACACACACCACCAGTATAACATTGCTCCTTTTACACACACCACCAGTATAACATTGCTCCTCCTTTTACACAAACCACAGTATTACATTGCTCCTTCTTTTACACACACCACCAGTATTACATTGCTCCTTCTTTTACACACACCACAAGTATTACATTGCTCCTTCTTTCACACACACCACCAGTATAACATTGCCCCTCTTTTTACACACACCACCAGTATAACATTGCTCCTCCTTTTACAAACACCACCAGTAGAACATTGCTCCTTCTTTTACACACACCACCAGTATAACATTGCTCCTCCTTTTACAAACACCACCAGTAGAACATTGCTCCTTCTTTTACACACACCACCAGTAGAATATTGCTCCTCCTTACAAAGACCACCAGTATTACATTGTTTCACCTTTTACAAAGACCGGACCCTACAAAGACCACTCATCACATTTTTTCACCTGTAATATATAGACTAGGCCATAAAAAATTAATTAATACTTTTTCAGGCCAAAAATTTCAAAATTCAATGCGGCAGGCAGGTTTTTTTTCTTTTTCCTTGGAAAAATAGAAAATTGAGTTATTTCCCTTTTCAATATGTCATCAATAAAATTGATCAATGCGGCAGTGTTTGACCTGATGCGGCAGTGCCTGAGAAACTATTGATTAATTTTTTTTGGCCCGACTCTTTGTTTTTTCCCCTATTAAATGGAACATGTAACATTACTTTGCTCTGTCTTCCAGAGAGTATCGAGATCAGGGCCTGACTCGCCCCAAGGTTTTAATTGTCCTACCATTCCGAGACTCTGCCCTCAAAGTTGTTAACATCATGATGAAGCTGTTGATGTCTTCAGACCAGGTGTGTGTCATAGATCTGTGATCAGTGGTTATCATTGAACAGAAGAAATCTGTAAAATGTGTAGGGCATTAACAGAATGTTTGTTTGAAATCAGTAGTTAGATTATGTGGTATATGATATTGGGATTAATTGTCTGTAATGTGCTTATAATGACATTGTATAAGTGACTGCATATGCACAGATGATGCTAATTTTGGATTAAGTTAATTAGGCCATGGCCACTAGATGTGTTAAATTTTGAATTCTCTAAAATGCATGTAATACTCATTTAGAGCTTGCAGCTTCATGTATGTTAAGGCTTCCCGACCCTTTAACATACATGTATCTGTGCTCTTAAGAAATTCAGGTTGACTTACTAGATATTTAAAGATGGAAGAAAATACTGTTCATGTAATTTGATGTCATTTACAGTAAAATAATTCAAGTGCCAAAAATAAAGGGATAACCATACAATCATGTATTTTCTGTTTTACAAAAAAAAAAAAAAAAAAAATAGCCAATTATTGTCTGGAATTAACAACTAACTATTATGATGAAGTATTTTTAAAATTCCCTCAAAGTAATTGATAAAGGTAATACTATTTCATTGTATGAAGTAGAGTACATTTTCAGAGTCTGGTCAGCAATAAGAAAAGATTTCTAACAGAGTACAGTGAAGAAGATACACCAGAGAAGAAAGTTCCTAAACCAGGTACTGGTTCTTATGTCATATAGCGTCATACTCAAAAGGTCCTCAGATGGAGAGTCAGTTTTTTAGAGTGTAGTTTTTGACTGTGTTAGACGTATTACAGAGCTGAGATGCCAAAGAACTGAGATATTATTTAAAAAAAAAAGGAAGAAATTACTGATATAGGGCCTTCTGTAGGCAAGGCCTCCAATAACCAGGTGACCATTTTGTGTTGCCTGCTCTCTACAACCTGATTCGTTAATTCCTATGCATTCCTTGATGATTTTATTTAAATTTACAATTACAGAAGACTTCGAAGCCACATTTGCAGGAAATATAGATGACCATTTCAGGATAGGACTTGGAGTGGCAAAGAAAACCTTAAAGCTGTACACCAAATTTTATGCCTCAGATATTGTTTTGGCTTCACCTCTTGGACTGAGAACCATAATAGGAGTGGAGGGGTAAGATTTAGAATATAACAGGTGAAATAATTAAGTTCCATCTTTTCTCATTGGATGATAAAAAGTAGAATATTTCTGTACTTAATGCTCTTATAATATAAGTGTACAGATTTCCATGTAAATGTTACTTCCAGGGAAAAGGAGAGAGATTATGACTTTTTGAACTCCATAGAACTTCTGATATTTGACCAGGCTGACATTTTTCTGATGCAAAACTGGGAACACATTACAGTAGGTATCTGTAAACATACACTTGTATATTACACATTTTAGATAAAATCAATTTTGGCCTAACAAATTTTAGGGCTATTCACTCAAAGGTCAAAGTTCAAAGTCAAAGTTCTTGAATTCCCATGCAACATACGACTCGGTAGCTTCGTGTAGAGACTAGAGAGTATTTGATGGAGAGGCTACTGGGTACTTAGTATCACCACTTTCTTATTAAAATATAACTAAAGGACAAGTGCACTTAATCAATGCTTAATGGGCCCTTTTTCAGTGCCGTTTTACTTTAGAATATATTACCAAATTGTTCTTTTTTGGTAATAGTTAAATACAAGTGGATATTTCTAATTAAAATCACGTTAAAACATCACCTAAATCAGCATGGATTTGAAACAAATGAAGATTTTTAAATGCCTATAGATACCCCAAATCCGGAAAAGTCGTACCAAACCTATTTTGAGTTTCGTTTATTTAGATCAAGGGGAGGAGACATTTAAATCGGACACTTGAACAATCTGGTGGTGGATCATTGACGGGCACGTTTTCCGAATGATACTTCTTGCGCTATTTTACCTGAGAAAAAAAAAATCGAATGAAGTTGTATAGATGCCTGTAGCCATAGTGATCAGACTAAGAAATTTGCACGCTTGCATTTGAAATAATACAATAAGTATTCACATTAGTTCCTTTAAATTTCAAAATGGAAAAAAAAATGTATGTAGGTGGCTTTCAATATCGGTACCATTGTCTTGCATGAATGTTAAAAATGTTTGACACTTTTATGTGTGACATTTTAACGACACTAAACTCTCCAAACCCTCCCGTGTTCATAAAACCAAATACATACAAACTTCTTTATGCTGCACGACGTCGATATAATGATACAAAACGTGGCTATCTTTTACAGTGAGCACCTTTGAGGAATGTTTACCTGTTTAGAACTCACGTGACTACCGGTAATTTAAATAATTTATTCCACGGATGGGTTCAGCAAAGGTCATACAAGTAAATAGCTCTCGCTTGCTATAGAAAAAAACATTGACTTTTTCATACATTTTTAATATTTAAAGTACAAGCTTAATCTTGTACAAATTTCCTACTTTCACACAAGTTTTATAAATGTATAATGCGTATTTTGTCATTCGCACAAGTTTGTACAACATTAGGCTCACAGTAAACAAAAGCTTTGAAATGAATGACCATCCTCGATTTACTATAGAAAATCATGAATGTCGGCTGACCCCTATCACATTGTATGGCTTTGCTCTTTGTATATTCATGAATTTCACTGATAAAATTTGTTGAATCTTATGGTTTAGATATCAATTAATGATCATAGATGAAAAATTATGCTTAATTTGATTCTTCATTTTTTCACATTTTGCCGGGGCCCATAAGTGCACTCGTTCTTTGTAAAATTTTGTTAAGTTCTAACAAGTTTAGCACCAATAGAGGAGGGAGAACTGGTACATACTAAAAAAAAATATGTGTTCCCCTTATGATCTGCAAATCTCCATTAAAAAAAATAGTAGAAGTGCTCAAACAAAAGTGTGATGACACAAGTGGATTTAATATTCTTAATATGGTAAAATAAAACATTAAAAAGGATTAAAAAGAATAATTAGAGTTGAATGGCTCATGTACTGTCTTGTTTTAGAATCGAAGAGAGCTTATTCTCACCTCTTCATTTCACGATCTAATGGCACATCTCTGGTTTTGTTTCAGAATTTGATGTCTCATCTACACCTTCAGCCACAGGAGGCCCATGGTGCTGATTTTTCACGAGTCAGGATGTGGACCTTGAATGGATGGTAATGCAGCTAATGAAATTTTAAACACCCATGTCTTCCCAATACACTCCCCTTCCCACCAGAAAATTTTACAGATATTTCTCATTGGATCGAGTCATGAAAATGCACATTTTTCTGATTTCTCTTATTCAATAGAAAATTTTCTTTTCATTTTTAATCCTGGATAATTTTATTGTAGTGAGATGAATGTTATTATAGTGAGATGAATATTATTATAGTGAGATGATTTTCCTTACAGGTCCAAATACTACCGACAGACTATGATATTCAGTTCCCTTGCAACTCCAGAACTCAATTCTCTGTTTAATAAACACTGTTGTAGTATCCTTTATAATCTAACCATCAGTGTTGATGAAAAGAAGGGGGGATTCTTTGTGTAAATAAATATGTTGCAAATGAAATGCATTAATATACATTAAAAACACAGTGAAATTCCTGAACTGAAGAAGATTATGCAGGAAAGTTATCCGTAAACAGAAAGGAAACTAAAGGCACAATCTGTCACATAGTCACACAGCTTCCTCAGGTTATACAGTTTGTGGATTTCAAGACATGTATTTACTAGTTCTATCATTGCTTATCAGTATAAGCAAAAATTTCACTTTAATTTTGAAGTGACTATGGAAAGATATTTATAAAATAAGAAGTTTTTTTCACCAAGGACTGTAAAAAATATTTTACATAATCACATTTATCTTGGTTGAAGTGAATTTTTCTTATTTGATTAAAATAGACTCCACTGATTTACAGGTATTCCATAAATTACCCACTACCTCGTACTCAGATTTAGCGGACGTCAGATTTGATTTCTTTCTTAAAAAGGTAAGGCTTTATGTCAGGTAAACCTGCTTTCTACCTTTGTCAAGGTTTATTGTAATTATGATAATGGTATTGTAATTGTGAGATTTTACAGTATTTTACAGATTTTCTGCCTTTGTCAAGATTAATTGTAATTGTGACATTAGGGTATTTATTGTAATTGTGAAAACAGTATTGTAATTGTGAGATTTTACAGTATTTTACAGATTTTCTGCCTTTGTCGAGATTAATTGTAATTGTGACATAAGATTATTTATTGCAATTGTGACATTAGGGTATTTTTGATAATTTTGACATTTTACAGTATTTATCGTAATTGTGACATTAGGATATTTATTGTAATTGTGACCTTATGCTATTTATTGTAATTGTAACATTACAGTATTGATGGTAATTTTATAATATTTATGGTAATTGTGACATTTTACAGTATATTTTGTAATTGTGACTTTAAAGTATTTTACTGTCTTCCTGTACAGATACTGCCCACTCAGAAGGATGCTGTGATGTCACAGACTCTGATCTTTATTTCGTCCTACTTTGATTATGTCAGAATACGCAATTACTTTGTACGAGAAGATTTGGAATTTGCCCAAATAAATGAGTAAGACTCATCTTTTGAAATTTATGATATACAGTATTTGATTAAGAAAATTTCAATAACTTGCTGTATAATATAGCTGAAACTGTTCAAATTTGGTTTTAATTGTATTTTTTCCTGATATAAACACAGTTCTATTTTTATCATCATTGAACCTGATATGGGACTTTCACTGTAGATCTTGTGTTGTTTTATAGATATTCAAGCACTAAAACAATATCCCGATCAAGAAGTGAATTTTATCATGGAAAGGTTCACTTCCTATTGTACACAGAAAGAATTCATTTTTATAGAAGGTAATATTTTGTTCATTATTCCATCATTTTCTAATTTTAGCACTTCGCAATTGCTTTAGAAATATAGAAAGTAATGAATGGTAGAACTGCGATGTCTGCCTTAACTATACTAGAACTCCAAAAGAATCAGCTACTGCTTGTTAAGAATTTTAAGTACTTCAGAAAATAACAAAGCACTGAGAGGGAGTTTTTTTTGTCATTGTTTGTTGACTTAGGTAATGGCAGTTCTTTTTCTTACACCCTTAATTTTTAGATATTTGAAATACAAACACTTGGGCTTAAATACTTGTATAGAACAAAAAATAGATTTCAGTTGTTTTAACAAAAGGAATTGCAGTAAATATTCAAATTTGATAGTAGTAACTGTTACAGAATGCTGCATGTTTTTCAGATTAAAGCTGAGGGGGATCCGCCACATCATATTTTATGAGCTTCCTAGGTATCCCCACTTTTACAGTGAAATGTGTAACATGCTACAGGACACTCGCAGACAGACAGACAAGGAGAATATGACTTGTACAGTCCTTTATTCTAGCTTTGATGCACACAGACTGGCAGACATTGTTGGCATGGACAGAGCCAGTCGAATGATCAACTCATCCAAGAAGGCTCACATGTTTGTAACAGGGGAGGATTCTTAAGAATGGTGAAGAAGCTGTGAACTTTCATCAGAAATGATCCTGTTTATCAGTACTGGAAGGTAGGACTCTGTTCCTTGGTTTCGAGGACCTTGACAATGTCATCTTTAAAGCTCTGTTTAAGTTGGACATACATGTATTTAGAACTGAAAAGTATCAGCAGCTTTCTAATAAAATATGTACATCCCAAGATGTGAGGATTTGTCAACAAGCAGAAATGGAAGTCTTCTCTTGTCTTCTTTGTATATTACTTTTAGACCCATGTTTAGTGGATAGAACAAGCAAGAAACTCTGAAACTTTTACTCTCAGAAGTTTCTGATCTGTGAACCAACATTTATTCATTAATCCAGTAAAATGTCTGAGCTGAAATAAACATTACATCTTGATATTTTGTTCAATAGATGTTGCTATATTTCTCTTTAGAACATGTTTTGATGGTGTTAAAAAAGAAAAGATCTTCTCTCAGGTTAACTAAATTTTCTCACTTTATTATTATATGACTGATCTAAGAGGCTTGTAAAGTAAAAGTTTATGATATCTGTAAGGGCTGGGACGATATATCGAGATATCGATTCTTTGTGAGGATGATATGCATATCGATATGTATGAAGAAATATCGCAAAAAAAATTCTGGCTCATGATTTTAGGTCACCTGAGTCACTCAGGTGACCTATTGCTATCTCTTTTTGTCCGTCGTCGTCCGTCGGTCGTAAACTTTTGAACATTTTCAGCTTCTTCTCTGGAACCAGCAAACCAATTTCAACCAATTTTGGCATATAGCATCTATGGGTGAAGGGGAACAAAAATTGTGAAATTCGTGGCCCCTGCCCCCCTGGGGCCTGAGGGGTGGGGCCAAAACCATCAAAATTAATGCAATCTTTAAAAATCTTCTTCTTTACTCCTGGACATCAAGCAGTCAAACTGTTGGCATGATTGTAATAAGCATTGAGCCCTCTACCAAAATTGTGAAATTCATGGCCCCAGGGTCAGGGGTTCTGGTGCTAGGGCGGGGCTATATAGATCATATAGTGAAATGCATTATTTCTTTGAAAATCTTCTTCTCTACTCCTGGGTATTATTGAAACAATTTGAATAAATAGTTATGATAAGCAAGAGTGACTCTACCAATATTGTGAAATTCGTGACCCCAGGGTCAGGGGTTCTGGTGCTAGGGTGGGGCTATATAGATCATATAGTGAAAGTGCATTATTTCTTTGAAAATCTTCTTCTCTACTCCTGGGTATTATTGAAACAAATTGAATACATAGTTATGATAAGCAAGAGTGACTCTACCAACATTGTGAAATTCATGACCCCAGGGTCAGGGGTTTTGGTGCTAGGGTGGGGCTATATAGATCATATACTGAAAGTGCATTATTTCTTTGAAAATCTTCTTCTCTACTCCTGGGTATTATTGAAACAAATTGAATACATAGTTATGATAGGCAAGGGTGACTCTACCAAATTGTGAAATTCATGACCCCAGGGTCAGGGGTACTGGTGCTAGGGTGGGGCTATATAGATCATATAGTGAAAGTGCATTATTTCTTTGAAAATCTTCTTCTCTACTCCTGGATATTACTGAAACAAATTGAATACATAGTTACGATAAGCAAGGGTGAATCTACCAAAATTGTGAAATTCATGACCCCAGGGTCAGGGGTACTGGTGCTAGGGTGGGGCTATATAGATCATATAGTGAAAGTGCATTATTTCTTTGAAAATCTTCTTCTCTACTCCTGGGTATTATTGAAACAAATTGAATACATAGTCCCGATAAGCAAGGGTGACTCTACCAAAATTGTGAAATTCATGACCCCAGGGTCAGGGGTTCTGGTGCTAGGGTGGGGCTATATAGATCATATAGTGAAAGTGCATTATTTCTTTGAAAATCTTCTTCTCTACTCCTGGGTATTATTGACACAAATTGAATACATACCGTATATACTCGCCTATAAGTTGGTCCGCCTATAAGTCGGTTGTGATTTTTGAGGTTATTTTGGAGGGATTTGCCATTGACCCACCTATAAGTCGGTACAACTTTTTGCCAGGATCGGTGGACAATTTCAACTCAATGCTCTAATGTTTTAACGTGTTTCAAATAATATTTTGAGAAATTACGCCGATATTTTATCTCTCTTTTTTCTTCTTTTATAAATTTCATATCAATACTCTAATGTATTTACCTGTGTTCAAATAATATGTTAGGATATGACATCGGTAGTTAATATTTTTATTTTTCAACAAACCAAACCACTACCATTTTAGTTTCTTTCTGTACTGTTTTGTTTTAGCGTTAAATCCCTTGTCTTGTATATTTTATACATCGATCTCGATCATTGGCGGATCTCTGTTTCTTTGGCATGGTGATGAACTATGTAACGAGTCTACCAACATTTTGATGATATTTAATTAGGAGGTGCTCAATGTCCAAACCATATCAATAGTTTTTAATAACGCTATGTTTGATCTTTTATTAGCAATTATTGTCTCTTATTTACCTGTATCCCTTACATGACACTATGTTTATTTAGTGGCACGCGCCCCGAGAAAATTGTGTACCACACATGGGAAGCATTTTCATAAACAATCGAGTTTTAATAGACTCCAGAATAATATTCTGAATTATTTTTTAAGAATATCATATCTGTTGTCAATAACATTGCAGACGGTACATATAATTATACATTAATGCTAAACGTGTTATATCGGGTTCGCAATTCCATTTTACCGATAAACGATAGATTTACAGTAAGTCACAAGTTAATTAAAGAAATATTTTTGTTAATAATTAATCAAATAAATAATATACACTTAAGATCAAAATAAAATCATTAAAACATGTAAATACTTTTACTTTATATATAATCTTAGAATACATAAATAATGTAATACGCCCAGACATTTCTCAACAATAATCGTCGAAGTTATGTAAAAAATACTACATTTCGTCATCCAGAAAAATACCAAGCTTTTGATGACTCGCCTATAAGTCGGACTTAGAGTTTTGGACCAAAAGTTAACTCCCAAAAAACCGACTTATAGGCGAGTATATACGGTAGTTACAATAAGCAAGAGTGACTCTACCAAAATTGTGAAATTCATGACCCCAGGGTCAGGGGTTTTGGTGCTAAGGAGAGCTATATAGATCATATAGTGAAAGTGCATTATTTCTTTGAAAATCTTCTTCTCTACTCCTGGGTATTATTGAAACAAAGTAAATACATAGTTATGATAAGCAAGGGTGACTCTACCAAAATTGTGAAATTCGTGACCCCAGGGTCAGGGGTACTGGTGCTAGGGTGGGGCTATATAGATCATATAGTGAAAGTGCATTATTTCTTTGAAAATCTTCTTCTCTACTCATGGTTATTATTTAAACAAATACATGATTATGATAAGCAAGGGTGACTCTACCAAAATTGTGAATTTCATGACCCCTGGATCAGAGGTTCTGATGTTAGGGCGGGGCTCTATTTATTATATATCGAAAATGCTTTAAAAATCTTCTCTGCACCTGGGCATATCAGAGGCAAAAAAGAGTAAAAGTTTCAATAAGGAAGGGTATTTTTACCAGATTTTTGAACATGATCAGGACCATTTGGTCAAGTGTTCTGGTCCAGGCCAGGGCTCTATTAATTTGTATTCTACTGAGAGGAGTTATTCCCCTTTGCCATTTAGGTGTGATAATTAATCACTGTAAATAATGTACTTGAAAGGTTAATAGAATAAGAGAATTATGCAAGAATTTTTATTGTATAATACAAAAAGTACTTTCATAGTTTTAATGATCAGGTAGACTTGTAAGTAATAGATAAATAAAAATGAGACAAAAATAACTTGTCTTATTAAATATTCATCAAAGACCAAGAGAAGCCAATGTAACAATGCAACAATATCAACAAGGAATTAAAAGAGTACAGAAGCACTGATAGTTTGTTTTTATACTGTCTGGTGAGAGTGATAAATGGGGAACAGATTAGAACCTAATTTATGAACTGTTAATGAATACTAGACTAATTATTTTGTTGATCCTGATCACCCTATTTTTCTTGCTTTTGGGCAACAAAGCTTCACCTTTCAGTTCATTTCATACTCTATGGATCTTCTAAATTGTTGTATTATACTCAGGTGACCGTTAAGGCCCTTGGGCCTCTTGTTCTTTGTCTACACCACTTGTGTAAAATTATTTCCAAAGAAATGTTTTGTTCATTTCAATACAAACAAAACATTTATAACCAATTCAACATATCGTGATACATGTTGTATCGTGGCTCAAATATCGTGATATGTATCGATATAGAAAGAGTTGTATCGTCCCAGCCATAATATCTGTTAGATACATTTGATCATCAGTCAGGTTTTGAAATCAGGTATAGATGTATGACTAAGTTTGTTTATGGAGAGTTCAGACTGGGCATAAAGTAATAGAATTGTGATTGAATAGAAATTAAATTTTTTTCTAGGAAAAATCATGTTAAACATGACAGGAGTTTGTCTGACATCTCAGAGCTGTAGGTCCTAGCTGGACAAATAAGAGTTTTAAATTAGACCATATAATAATGGTAATGTAAGAAAATCTCTTAATAGAAAAGCAAAACAAGCAAGTAAGGAAATATTTTGGTGTACATGGTTATCTTTTTGACATGAAATCTGTGTACAACCATTTTTGAACAGAGCTGTGTGACCCATGTTTATTTGTTAAAACATGTACAGGTGACCCTCTTCTTATTGCACAAGTGGTAGATGCAGCTAGAATTATTTGGTAGCAAATTTAAATTTTGGACATTGTCTTTTTTGGTGTCTAGTTGAACAGATTTGGCAGATGTACATGTATAAATGTTGACATCCTTTTGTTTTGCAGAATCCGTTATTGTTGTATGGAAATCAATTTCTGTATTTTGTCTGTGTGTTTAAGGCATGAAAGGGCTAATTTTTATGCCTCCAAATTGAAGATTCAGGAGCATATAGTTTTTGGTCCGTCGGCCCGTCCATCTGTCTGTTTATCTTTTTGTCCGCAGAAAGTTTAACCTTGCCCATAAATGTTGAATGGTTGGTGATATGGCTGGTGCTAGGACGTCCATATTTCACATGTACCATATATTCCTTGTGACAAGACCCTTCTTTGGGTACCAACATATTTGATCTTTTCACCTTGATGTTTGACCAACTTTTGCAAAATTTAACAAACATTAACCTTGGCCATAACTTTTGAATGGTTGGTGCTAGGGATTTTAAATTTCTTGTGTGTATTCCATCAGACCAGACCTTTCTTTGGGTCTCAACAGTTTTTACCTTGACCTTAAAGTTTGACCTTTTTTTGAACAATTTGGCCATAAATTTTGAACGGATGGTGC